ATCCTATACAGGAACTCCATTTTCATAGCCGTCACATAATATACCGCTCTGCCTGATTTGGGTATGATGAGCAGGGCCGAGGTAGCATTCCTAATGATCTAATATACATGTGTCAATTGGTACGTAACACATGAACTATCGATCTAAGTGGTGAGTGCTATTTTAAGTTTAAAAAAAAATTATATAAATCTTAAATACGTATTGCTTGGGGCATACTATTGTTTAGCCTGAGCTCAATCAATGGCTCTTATACATACACTTGTTCAGTGGAATGTTAACAAATTAAGTATTAGACATAATTTAAGAAAATATGCTCCTTCATGGCACCTTGTTAGAGGGACAAAATCTTGTTCAGGGGATACAATGGACTTCTCGACAATGGCAAGCTGGTCGAGTAAACAATGTAAGTATATTCTCTTTTCCAAAACAGCAAGCAGTGCTAATTATTTGTACCCCTCTATCCCATTTATAGATTTTTACTTACACTTATAAGGAGTATTACAAAGACTGCCCCCCCCCCCCCAAATGCTCACCCAAACACGGTATCATAAAACGGGTTTAAAAACATAGATCGGGCAAGAACATGCCATTCAATGAGTTGTTTATGGTATGTTTCATGAAGTACAAATGTACAAAACATGATTACTCCAAAGGCTTTTGGCATATTGATAGTTTAAACTATACACAGTACAAAAGACATGAACGTTTCTAGATTTAAAAACAATTTTGCATTGACACTTTAGAGTAGCCTAGTTAAAACCGAGACCCATTTATACCGTTGAACCAATAGCCTGTCTTGAAAACTGTGCGGAGAAAATGGTGTCAAATATAACACACAATTGCAAACTGTTTACATGTTAAACAAGGGCACAGCATATTCGGATGGTAGGCACTTTAAAACAAATAACTAGCACATCTCTGCAAAAGGGGAAAGGTCAAGTGAAAACAATAAATAATAAAACGAAAACAACACTGAACAAACAGTTCGGATTTTGAAGTAGACGTACTGGAAGACAAGCTCATCTGTTTGAAACTTTATTGAATAGAGTCAGCATTTGGAGTATATTAAAATATTTTGATTTGGTGGTTTATTTTAATCTGCAACTTTATGGAAATGAGAACGACTTACAAAAACAAGAATGCCTTACACTCCGGGGCGTATCAGTGGGAAATAGCATGGCAAGTAATGGAATCCCCCCCCCCCCATCCCCCCAAAAAAAGAAAAAAAAAGAAGAAAATATATCTAGAGTACCATCTGCGATAGACATCGGCGACCATGGTTCGTCATGCATTTCTTTGATCGAATGCTATGAACAAATTACCCTGACCCCTTTCCTTCACCCATCTGCAACAAACGTTGAGGCTTTTTAGTAGGTTACTCAGGGTCTACCTCTGCCTTATTTGCCCTCTGTGTTTCCAGTGAAGGCAAGATGCTCAAAACCCTTATGTCGATTCAAGTGTCCCAGAACGGCATTTGTTATTTCCTAATTGTTTCATCAATTAGAGGCCCGTGTAGGCTTTTTAAAGTACTTCATTATGTGGTTTATTTTTCTTCCGAGAAATGTTCGTATCATAAGAAACCACAGTTTTATTGCTTTTATTTCATTTTTACTGTCTTGGAAATTGCCTTGCATTCACAGCTGAAAACAAGAGTGGCTTTTCATGACTTTTCTCCGGACACAGCAATGGTTTCCCGTTGCCTCCTGCCAGTTTATGTACAGTTTTTCACTGCTAGTCTTTTGTCATTCACTGTCTACCCAAAACGAACACCCCCCCCCCCCCACACACATACAAACCACGCCCAATCTCCAAAACCTACCGATCGTCCTTCAACGGACGCCTGCTTGGATGATGACGATTGAGTTGGAACACACACTATCCCCCCCCCCCCCCCGCCCATCCTTTTCCAGCCTTCCACATAAACACGCTTAAGGTGACACCCAAGAATCCTGAACTGCTTGGTATACCCGCATTAGATCAATGCCTTAGCCCTACTTGCATAGAATGGCACCACTATTTTTCAGCAGTTCTGTTGGAGAGCACGATGGTTGTTGTCAGTTAAAATGACACACGAGTAGGTGGAAGACAAGAAAAAGTCAGCCAAGATATTTTTTTTCGGTAACAGCAATCTTTATCAGTACTAAAAAGCTAAGGCATAAATTACAATCAGTTTTAGCAAAGTTATCATAATAATAAATAAACTGCCCACACAAAAATGTCCCCTTTGTTTATGCTTTTCAACTTTGAATCTGACGCCATGAGACCATCTAATGTACCAACGACTTTGCTAAATTTTTGGGACGCAATTGACCGAACGTATCAGCAAAGAGATGTCACTGATGGTTGAGAAGTTCATCATGGGTAATAATCTTGAAAATGCTGGACGCAGAATCTACACATTCACAGTAACAAGCCGTGGTTCAAAAAAAAAAAAAAAAAAAAAAAAGAAAGAAAAGAAAGAAAATAGTCGCTTATCTCAAAAGCATCTTTGAATTATTACGCTAAGAATATTTACCAGTGAAATGTGAGGATAGAGGTAAGGGACAAAAAAAAGCCAGGAATGTGATATAGCATGCCCATATTGAAATATATTACATGGTTTTTTAAAAATCTACAAAAGAGTGTACAGAAGCAAAAAACATAAAGCAAACTCACCGCAATATAAGCTACACAATAGCCACAACAGAATTGTATAAGCAATATACAGCGTTTAAGAAAAAAGATATATAAATTATTTGTTTTTTTCACTTTCATACACATTTTATACAAATTTTGTTCACAAGGTGTCTTGAGAAAACAAATAATACCAGAAGGCACACATAGGTCTCTCCTAACCGCCCCCTTCCCTACAAAATACTTTAAAAAATTATTATCAATATTTATACTGGCACGAAACAATATCTACAATTAAAAATATCTTTTGCAAGAAGAACACAAATTTTTATGGTAGTTTCTGTCGTTGTTAATGCTTTAATGGTATATTATAAAAAACAAAAGGTTCATAAGCATTGAAGGTTTAATGAGACCCATAACACATTATATCTAAAAACAGCTCTTTAAAATGAGAAACTACCGAAAAGATTTACTGAACATAAACAACACAGCAAGAAGAAGTTCCAAAATGGCTACAAAAGACTGGATCTAATTTTTTTTTTAAAGAGAGCATGCTGTACATGGCCATGTTTGTACACCCACTGAGCTCAAGAAGCTCCAAAACGTGTGCAAAAGGCTGAATTTAATATTTAAAAAATGAAAGCATACGTATACTGTACGCCACAAAGTTCATGCAGGGGGTTCTAAAAACTTTGAAACAATTGCACACACCGTTTGCTTTTGTGGGTTTCATGTTTAAAGCTCTCTTCAAATCCTTCTTTGGTTAAAAACTATGGAATCAAAAGGAAAAGATACAAAAATGTCCCAAGATACTGAAGATAAATTATAAAGAACAATAAGTCGATCTTGGTGCATTGGAAGTCCTCAAGCTCAAACATGTGTAACTTTAAAATCTGACTAGTCAAAGTAATGTCTCAATCCAGAATGTTTGTACAAACATTCCTTGCTTTAAAAAAATCAAGAAAACATGGTTAATCTGAACAATTTTTCTTGCCAATATGGTGACGACCTACTTGTTAATTTCTTCTGTCAGAACCTTAGAAACAAATCTCGAACTTAATATGAAATGCACAGAATATGGGTGCAACGCATTTCAGAAAAAACCCCGCCTAATAGGACAAGCAAGGGTACTCAGGAAGCATCATGTATTTATTCGTCATCAAAGGTCTCTTTAAGTGTCCTAATATGACACAAATCAAAACAAACAACACAAAAACCAGTTGGAAGATAAAGAAAACCATTTACTTTACACGAAATAAAACCCCCATTAGAAACCTCTCTTACTATCACTCAGTCTCCTTTTTTCTCCTCATCCTGAAGGTAATTATAACCAAGCACATCGTCTTCTCAGATAAGGAAGAAAAATCTCAGAGGTCTCATGTACACATTGCGTACGTTAAAGATCTGTTGGTAGTTGAAAATTGCAGATGAGTTAGACTTTAGAACGCCACGAGGTCGAAACTTTAAAAAATTCCCTACCATTAGGCCTACACCCCCCCAACCCCCCCCCCCCACCAAAACAACAACAACAACAACAAAACAAAAACAAACAAAATCAAAACAACAATAACATCCCAACAACAACATATATCCCTATCACACCAGCAAAATGATACGACACACCCTGGCACTTTACCTGATACCAAATAAATTGACTTCGTCTCTTCTTTGATGTCAAGATCTAAAGGAAAGGAAGTAATACTGCCTCTATATCTCCCACCTCGACAAAACTGTATCATGTATGTATACTGCTGTAAGATCGTCTACCAAGACATTAAAGTCATACATACATAATAAATATAAAGAAAAGAAAAAACCAAAATGTTTACAATGTTGGCAAATATATACTGCTTTCTCAATAAATGCATTGACTACAATTTATCCGCACCATTTTGCAAGAAAAAGCACAAGGTGTCAAAACGTGTCACAGTTTTATGTAACCACAAGTGTTACTTCAATTTTGTCAATCACATGTAAGACTATACGTTCATTTTTCCATAGTTAGAAAGGTTTATCTTAATAGGCTCTGTGATGGGGGAAAATGTTAGTTCCGTAAATGATGACTCAAAACTAAAGTAAAATCCAGGAATAACCGCACAATGTAAGATAAGCTGTGTTTCGGTGACTGGAATATGCAACAAAGCTGGTTCTTCATTTAAACACTGCAGATTACGTATGGCAAACAAGAAAGATTAAATACTGTGGCACTTTTAAATGATTATGTTTTAAGAAAATAAACACAAACACCTCTGTGCTATCATCACACATACGCTGAGTTAGGATATTTAGGTTATGTATCCTCTTTAGTGAAAAGAGTGGAATGCTGTGTGGCCCATTTCAACGTGAATGGATTTTACACAATGATTTAAACAATAACAAGACTGTGAATTCAAACACATCACATGTTTAACCTCAATTAACCACGAGCTTGTCCTTAAGATATAAATTATAAAGAGAAAAATACACACATATCCAAACAAACGTAGCCATAATAGGGGAAATAACAGATTTAAAAACTGTACCTCATATAACACATTAATTATCATGTTGACGTATGACTAGGACATTGTAACTAAGACAATTAAATTTTTTTTTGAAATTCAGGAAAAGAGACAAGAAATTCAAGGCTATTTCAAACAAAGTTCAGGAATAATTAAAAGGCGTTGGTCAGAGCCGAGGTTTGTTTGTATTACAATAGCAGGTCAATCGTTATAATTATAATCTGTCTCACTAAAGGTATCTATGATGTAAAGGTTTAGGCTCCCGAAAACACAAACGTTTGATCCCCATTTCAGAAGGGTATTTTATCGCATACCTTCACTTTATTAGAAGTTATCCTAAATAGCGTGGGTTGGCTTTCATAGGCATGTTAAAAAAACAGCCTTCTACAATTGTGTATCAAATTACATGTATTCTGGAAGGGATGAAAAGTACATTTCAAATGGAAAATGACAAGAACAGAGAAACAGTCAAGGAACTAAGATATGTTGAATGCTGTAGAGAAATAGAAAAGGGTGTGCACCAAACAACAGTAATAGTTGATTATGTATGGAACATCTCGGAGGTCTTATACAAGAAAGTCTACCTAAGAATATAGATAATACTAATACAGATATGAAAACTTTTCGTGCTCTTCTTTTGAGCATGAATGCTCACTTCTTCTAGGGTTCAAAGAGTCGATTTCGTTACGAGTCCCTTAAATCACACGTGCTTATTATCATAAACACTTGCAACAAAGAACATGGACATAGATTTGGCCCTTTAAATTAAGGGAAGGTGCTACTCAAATTTCCATCTCTTTGGATTCTCCAGGTACACAATTTCTGGTGCTATCACTGTGTTCAGCCTGTTCATAGGACATGTTTAGATGTTTAAATATGATGAAAATATCATTCATCGACAAGTGAGATGTATATTTTGTAACGGTTACCTACAAATTTAGGACATTAAAAAAAGCCTTTTCTGTTTTTCAAGCAATTTTTTCGTTATTTGGTCAATTATCGGCTATCGCAGTTCAAATTTTTATCAATAAGAAAATTGCGTAATAATATTTCGATCAGTTTTGTTTTATAGGCTTATTTTGTGCGCTGTATCGGAAAATCGAGAAAGTTTTAGAGGGCGGGTTATAAAAAATAACTACCCTCAAAGTACTAAAAAGACTATGCTTATATGATGTTAATAAAATGTTGCAATATGGCTGTAAGGGCATCATGCGAAATTTGAAACATATTAGAAGAAAAATGTGGAAGCCCTCGTATTTTTAGTACTAAAATCTTACGAAACGAGACAGTTCACGTAATCCGTAAAAATAGTGTGAAAGAAAACCAACCTTCACATAATATTCCTCTCGGAAACCCAGGAATGATAGTTATATCCCTTCAAATTCCTGTTTATTACCCTCAATTACACCGAAAACAGCTATAGCAGCAAACGTTACACATATTATGGCAAATCTAATCAAGAGCCCAATTTTTGTAGCACCTTCCCTTAAGCAATCGAAAAGTGATGTATGGACCTTCAGTAAGTTCACACTGGATTCAATTAAACAACAAACCAATTCCTGAGGGTCTCGTCATCACTCTTCAGAATCAAAGAAAGTCACAATTTAAATTGTACAGCAATTACAATCATGACAACCAGTCAGATAGAAAACTTTGACAAACATCTCATTGGCCCTCCACAAGAGAGAACGGAAGCAGGTTCCTGTTTTTCTGTACAACGCTGAGGATTATCAAAGCTTTGAGACTGATTGTAAACCCTTACCTTGTTTGTGGGACTGTCTTTTCTGCTTGGCTTTATTGTAAAAATGTCACAAAAGATATAAGATTATTTATCTAAAAATACAAAACTACCTAAAAACACTGAACAAGTTCTGGGAAACACTCTCTGGTCCACATCTCAGTGAAGTCCAGTGAAATGGTCAATGAATGAGATACTCAGACAGTCTTGATTGCTTTTAAACCTGTTCAAACTAATCGGAGGGTCATTCTTCCTTTACCATATGTGGCATCTTTCGCTGAAATACTCATATCTCTTAAATCCTCTTCATTTGAAAATGTGCGATAACCCATGGAAAGATAGACTCCTTTGCAGGCGTGGTCAATTTTTTTCACAAGTTGAAAGGGCAACTCTTGCCTCCATTGATAAGCTGTCTTGAAAGGATCTTTCCTGAATGTTGATTTTACTGTTGAGCAGAAAAGGAAAAAAAATATGGCATTTAATAGAGTATGAATTGCTGGACGAACTGTTTACGTCTACAGAGCCAGTATCGTAACATTGAGGTAAATGTATCAGTTACAAATTTACATTTTTGTTTATGTTTAAGAAAATATTTTGTGTGAAAATTCTAAATATTTTTGAGAGATCTGATCCGCTCATTGTGGGTAT